CCAGGCACTGAAGAGCTATTGTCCAGTCATTGATGGTACCTGGTAAACAACCTTTTCAAAATCCATTCAAGCATAGATGCAYGTCTTGATGACACATAACCCGTGATAAACGGTCGTCACCAGTTTATATAGAAGCAATCCTCCTTTATCCGTGATTGTGTTAGATCTTGATTATAAGGTTTAAAGTATGAACCTTCGTTGTTTTTTCTTCGTAGGCGGCAAAGCCAATGAACGAGCCAACTCACGGAAACGGCGGGTAAGTAAAAATTCATGATTTCATGAGCCGTAAAAATCATGATTTCATTCAAAGCTCGATTAATAACATTCCTTCGTCCCTTCGTTCCTCTTACTAAACCTGCGGAAATTATCCTGGTTTAACGATTAAAAAAGCTTATGGAGTCAACTCTGTAGAGAATTAAGTCATTAAAGCTAAGCTTGCACAAAAAAGAGAAATCCGAAATCCGAAACTGGAGTATTTAGTAGATCATTACTGAGGCAGGTCAGGAATCGCGASTCAAAACGCTACCTATAACAMCCTCCACATAATTGACATCAACTTCACTTTATTAACACATTCTCTTTCGTTATTTCGCAGTCTTCCAGATCATTCAGGTAAAAGCTCGTCCATTCATACACTCATTTGAATCATAAAGCACGACKTTCGTGTTTTCGCGCGATTTGTATTGGTGTTTCGTTGGCGGCGAGTATCGATCACTTTTGTTCTAAATAAATAAGTTTTTTGCTCAATTTAACTGCAAACATATACATGAAAGCTTTCAAAGAAACTTTTACAGTTTTATACAAATACAAGCAAAATGTGAGCTTATTTTGAATTTAGCGAAAAATTATGAAATGGCGGGAAAACTCAAAACTTTGAGCGCGCGCGTGCTGGTTTGCYTTCCTGCGCACATTCTATTTGTATATTTGTAGACCTCGTTTTCATTGAAATTATATTATTTAGAATGGGGATATTAAACTCTGAAGAGGATAATTCAAAGCCTTTATTCAAGAAAGCATCCAAAGTAATTCGGTATGTATTGGGGTTCCTGTGGGATCCATAAGAAGGTTATGCTTGGGGAGACTGGACTTATTTTGGCGAATTCTTACCTAAAACCACGGTTTTACAACAGTATGCATAAAATATGATTCGTTTGACTCATATTCCAAGTATATATAAAATATATCAGAAATTATGGGATATCATCGCCAATATTTTTTTTGAAGTTGACTAGCACTAGTACTTTCTGAAAAAAATATAGGCGATAATATACCATAAAATTTCTGATATATTTTATATATACTTGAAATATTAGCAAAAAGGATCATTATCATGACAGGATTTTAAGAAATCAGAGGAAGTTTTCAGGCTTCGCGAGCGTATTTTGTTCGAGTTTTTTTTAATTAAGTTGAAATGTCATAGTAAAACAACTTATTTGCTTGCAGGAGGATGCAGTCACAGAACACAAAAACATCACCGTCGAAAGTAAGAATAGATTCATCATTTATTCATCCATTTAGTCATTCAAATTCGCCCAGTTTTCTGATTTGTTGTTCCATTTACTAATTCATTTGTCGTTCATTTGTCTGTTCTTTCGGCCGTTTGTTTCTCCCTCCCTCAATCCCATCCTTTCTCCCTTCCTTCCCATTCTTTCTTCCTAGATTTATTTTCCCATTCCTTCATTAATTCAGCTATCCATTATAGCCGAATTTCGCTTTAAAACTATAACAATGATTGCTTGAAGATTTGACTGGTTTTATTCCTTGTTTTCTCAGAATTTCGTGACAAAGATTCGTCACGGTCTTGAGACAAAGCGTGACATGTCCATACGTACCTACGACCATTTATACAGAACACAGAGGGGTAAAGCMGCGCCCATGAACCCTCCGACAGTCAGTGCACAGTTTCAGGTGAATTTTGTTAAAATATAGAAACGCCATCATCATCATCATCATTATCATCATCATCATCATCACCACCACCACCAGCACCACCACCATCATCATCATCATCATCATCATCATCATCATCACCATCATCATCATCATCATCATCATCATCATCATCATCATCATCATCATCATCATCATCATCATCATCATCATCATCATTAGAAACATACATATTAACACACACGAGAAGCAAGCCCAGGAGCTCGTGTTTCTTTGGTTTCTCGATTTCTTAATGCAGTCTTTATTCACACGAGAAGCAAGCCGAAAAAGCTCGTGTTTGTTTGGGTTCTCGAGCGTTGTCAATTTAATCTTTATTCACACGAGGAGCAGGTCAAGGAAAGCTCGTGTTTCTTTGGATTCTTGAGCGTTCTCAATTCAATCTTTATTCGCACTTGAAAAAAATGCACTTACAACTAGAATTTATTCCGGACAAGATACTTTTCCCTAGTTTTACCTTCTCCCGCCGTCTATATATTTCTATAAAGATACGAATAAGAGGACCTTATAGCGCAATGAGATACATGATATAGAAATAAAGGAAAGTTTGCTCAAAAGAAGGTTATTGGGGAAGAAAGACCTTTGAAAATAAGTAGCTCAGCTGGTAGAGCATCGGTAGTACAAATCCGAGGGTCGTGGGTGCGAATCCCAGCGAGGTCGGAAATTAATTTCCAAGGTTCTTTCGCCCGGAATAACCTTCTAAGCACTTACTTTTATTTCTATATTATATATTATTATTGTTTGTTTCTGGGTCGACATAAACTCGAAACGTTTGACTCTTGACTAAAACACTGAACGGTTGTCATTGCAATCATTTGATTATAATCAACTTTTAACAAACTCTTGTTTATTAATCTTGTTTTGCTTTGTATAGTCATCGTTGAATCGTCTAATGGAGATTCTTGGTGAGGCCCAGCCATTCTTTGTTCGCTGCATCCGCTCCAACGCTGAGAAGGTAACTAACCCGTGAAGTAATATGACTCAATARTGCAAGCTTAAAAACGAAACGTTCTTGAATCTGCTGACACAATGRTAGACCTCTGAAGCTTTTACGTCATSTACCGTATACGCAATGCATTGTAGGATATGTTTGGGRCARAACATGGCGGATTTCTTTTTCTCTTGAARCTGATCCCACAATGCATTGAAAATCAAGTCTATTCACTATGAGATTGAAGATGGGAATGAATGCATGAAAAAACGGATGGATGGATTGAAAAGGAGGACTTTCACTTAAGGATCATATGATTCAAKTTTTTTTACTATAAATCTAGCAGCTGTATTTTAACTGATTGAATCTTAAATTAAAAAAAGAGAAAGGAAAAGGAAAAAGGAAGAAAACATCTCATTGTTAAAATTTGTTACAAGACTTTGAGTAAACGTTTTCAAAAAACGAAAAAAAAGATCCATTTTGTTTCTCCTCGGAAATAATTCTAAATCACACTTTTTGAACTTGGCCTTCTATTAGAAGTCTCAATAAGCTGGGACAAWCGACCTAAATGAAAACAACAGCTTTAAGAGCATATTATATGTTTTGACTCGAGTTGTTTTGTCACAGACAAAACACGAATGTTAACAATACGAAAGCTGTCTTCTTTGCAAGCAAGATTGTCATTGCTGAGGAAGGGCTGTGAAAAGATCAAAATAAATAACATTGACCCCTCTGTATGTGTCGCCACAATGTACTCGAACGGTGACGCAATAATAATTTTCCCTATAAAACACTGAAGAGCCCTCGATGAAAATATATAACTCAATACGTCTACTAAATACGTCTGAAACCAGAAGCACTAATCGACAATAATTTGAACAAGTTTTTTTTAAATGGGAATTATTTCCAAAGCAAAGCGTTTAATTCTACGAAAGGTAATACGATTTGATATAGTTGTATAGAACGGTTTACGTATGAGCGGGAAACGTGTTGTATATACGGTTAGTGCGTGATGTAGATACGGTTACGTTAGATTATTGTACTATGGTTTCGGTTAATGCGGATCGGTTATGCGGTTACGGTAGATATTTGAACGTTTTTGTACCAAACGTACGAGCACGAAACCTTTTCAGTGTACTTTTTATGTAAAACGTGTGCTTCGATTGTATGTTTGCGGTAGAAATCTGAACGTTTATGAACAAGTTACGTACGAGCGCGAACGGTAAACGCGTGCTTCGATTGTATAGTTACGGTAAACATTTGAACGTTTTTTAACAAGTTACTTACGAGTGCGAATGGTAAACGCGTGCTTTGGTTGTATGGCTACGGTGAAAATTTGAATGTTTTTGAGCAGGTTACGTACGAGCGCGAACGGTAAACGGGTGTTTTTGTTGTATGGTTACGGTAGAAATTTGAACGTTTTTGCACCAAACGTACGAGCGCGAAACTTACTGTACTTTTTACGGTAAACGCGTGCTTCGGTTGCATGGCCACGGAAGACTGCTTGTTAGCGCTAACGGTTGACGTTCACATTTTTAACCATTTCTCTGAACTCTTATATAAACACGGACATTAGCCAATGAGAGTGCGCGTTATATTAAAGATTTTATTAAAATTCGATACAACTTTGACTGTTATTGCGTGTATTTGTTCCCAGGCYCCCCTAAAGTTCGACTGTGACGTTGTTCAGCGGCAGTTGCGTTACACYGGTATGTTGGAGACCGTGAGAATCAGGAGACTGGGCTACCAATGGAGGTTTCACCTGGAGGTATGGATAATATTATTTTGGGTTGTAATAAAACATCATGCAGTGACGTCATTTTTCTCTTGCAAAGCATGATGGTACATTCAGTCCTCGCCATTTTTCTTGTTTGTTGAGTATATTCCTTAAGGCAGTTTTTGGTGTTTTCTTTGGCAAGAATTCAAGTGTTTTTGTCATTTTCATCAGGGAAATTCAAAAAGGGATTTTTTAGCGGATGTTAAATAGTGCGAGGGGTGCATTTCCCATCATGTTTTTTTAAGTACAATATGGCCTCGTTGCACATTTGAAAGCAACTGATATTGCAACTGTTTTTCATTGACTGTGTAAAAAGAATAGCCCAATTTCAATATTCTAGTTGAATGTTCAAGTTCTAAAGACTCCTGAACACGAGGATCAGGGTTTTTTTCTAAAAGGTTTTTCTATTGTTTCCTCTGAGCCTCGTCTTCATTTCTTATGAACGTGGTTAGTCAATCAAAATATTGAAAGTGGGCTATAGTTTTAGATTCATGTTTACAAAATTCAAAACTTGTCACGTGATCATAATAATAATAATAATAATAATAACTTTATTAATAAAATTGATTTGCAATCCAGGGGATTGAAAAACTCAATAGATATGTTTACAAGAATAGTACGAAGTCTATAAAATATTTGTTGCACCTCAGTCTTACTTTGACATTAAACGAGGAGGGAAATTGTTCTTGAGCCTATTTGTGCGGCATTTGAATAAGGGTTTACGTCTTGGATTTCTTAAATTATTGATTATTGGATTAGGTTCAGGTTAGAGATTGTATTATATGCTGAAATGGTGGGAACTAGCGGTAAACTAGTGTGAGCTGCGTCGGTGTTTCTAAAGAAACAGTTGTGTAAAAAAGATAAGTTTAACACGTCGGAGTAAAGTATTATATGCTGCCTGGTCGACTTAACTCTTTGTACAATTTTTCCCACAAATTTCCACGCCTTTCATCACTGCATTAACGCTCCGTTCTTTTGCGTTTGCGTATATGAACGCGACTCAAAAGCGTTTTTACGTTATCAAATTTTCACTTTACGTTTGTCGTTAGCTGTAAACGTCAATTTCATTATCCATTCCCTCAGGGCCTAAAATTACTCGATGCGTCATTTTGGGAGTTAACAACATGTGATAAACGTCCCTTTACATGTGCTGAAGTCAGCGCAAAGATATCTTTTTTTATTATGTTATCATCTACATTGAGTTCAACACATGATTTGGCGTAAAAAARGACAACGCATAATAGTCGAGTATCGTGATCTCAAAATATTCAGAAATGTTAAAAAAATCGTAAAATTTTACACTATTTCCATTGTTTTCTATACTCATGAATCTCTTGCATTTGCACGGACTGTTAGTGAATAAAATAATTTATTACATTGTTTTGAGGGTAACACAGCGTAAAAGAGATCGCTAAAAAGGTTTATTGTTCGAAAATTTTCTTATTGGTTTTTAAAACGTCGAAGTTCGCATGTAATGATAAATAAATAGATGATTAAGCTTCGATGATTAGGAAATACTGGTGCAATTTGCACTGAATTCGACACATGGCATTTAAAACGGACCTGTCAAACGAACTTTGATATTTCTGAGCTGTGACGCATAATTCCAGGTCACGCCACGTCATGWACGTTTGTATCCACTGTCACGTCAGGYTAAGAAAACATGTACAATAAAAGTGTTATATGTACGCTTTTTGTAGAACGAAGACTTTGTGTTTTTAATGATATCTCCATAGACTTTATTTTGGTGTTTGTTTGGAGCAAAGTTATWATCCTGAAGTGTTTTTGAAACGGTCGATGGCGCGGTAAAGCGACRATAAGGAACTTTAGTTCGTGACGTCATTTCCGGTTCAATGACCGCACTTCGCTGCGAGCTGACGTCGTAACGTGAAGTTCTCTCACAAAAATACCTTAATACCTGAAACTAAGGACTCTAAAAGCGAAGCTTTCCTGTACAGGAAGAATTAGGAAGAATTTACGAGCGTTTAAAGTCTCTGGTAATCTTCTAAGAGCGTCATTTCGAGTAATATTCAAAGCGGAAACAATTCGAGAATGGACAAACACACGACAAATGTACAAYCTTGCGTGSCTTTAAAGTTGACCYACATGTGATTTCTCAGAAGCTGGGGACATTCCCATTCACTAAAATAGAAATATRACCATGGAGTATGTGAAAAGACTTTTTCAAGTCTATCTGGGTATTTCTATTGGGTTCAATGAAGATCTCGTCGTCGTAAACTAATCCAATATGTCTATTTGCGAGTCACTGCTCGCTGGAGTTCGTCTCTTCGCATTGGGCTCCGTTGTTGTGATGATAATTGTCGGAAGAATCTTTTTATTCTTAATGGTAATGTATAAATCTTTAAATTACATAATTTCAACCTCAAAACTGTTTTAGTTCAAACTGAATTATCACTATCATTAATCAAAATCAATGCCATTTAAAGTTTACGCATTTCTTCCACTCAAAAACTCCATTTTATATTTCATTTATATTGATTCTAAAACGTGATTCAGTCGAGCTTGAATGTTTTCTGAAACTTGCTTCGCACTGTGAACTTAAACGCGAAAAATGACAAAGCTATCACGCAAAATTCGACTTTTATGACTTTTCTCCCATTTTTTTGGTTGAAAAATTGTTTTGTTGTTCTTTATCGTTTWGTWRTACTCGTTTATAGGTTTACGTTGAGTTTCCTGTAATTTTAACCYAAATTCATGGCCTGAATCTTTAAGAGGTTGGCATATCCCGCTAATGTTTTGACTAGTACCTGCTATAGTAGCCGAGTTCATTTGTCCAAACCAGTCACCTCGAGTAGCTGTTTTCAAATCAAAAGTAACCCTAAATTGATGTTATTGGAACTCTTTACGAAGAGTCAACGATGTTTTCTCAATATTTAGYCATATTTATTGTCTTTTAGTGCAAATAAGTGTGAATTATTGTCTGAAAATGAAGACGAMCTTCTCAAATGTATAGACACGAGGACTCACRGCRAGATGGGAATTTGAGAAATTTCAAAACGTTCCTCTAATGAAAAACATACTTGTCGAATTTACAATGTAATGGCAATTGTTTTGATAATGTTGRCTTCCYGAGCTGATACAATTATCTTTTGTGATATCTTCAGGTTTTCTGGATAATTTCCTTTTTCAATTTTTTTCCACAATTCTTAGAATGTTTAATGGTATTTAGGTATATTGTTTCGCTCAATAAGTACTTTTTTAAGGACAGCAATTTAAGCGTTTCTCATTCTTTTTCGGATATGMTGTTTGTTTACAACGATTATAAAATCTTTCGCTTTCATTTTTTCACGAGGAATGCTAGACTTGCTGAAGTATGCGTAGAAACTTTAAGACATTATTGTCACCAGAAAAAACAGTTTGTAAGTTTAACTTACGAAAACATGCCATTATTATAGCAGACTGTCGCGATCCTTGATATTCAGACAGATTTTATCGATTAATAAAATACAAACTTTGAACTTGTGAAAGTGAAAAAYCTTCTTGACAAGTCTGCTTCGGGCTCTGTTGGGTGACAAGAGGAAACCCCACCCTCCCTTCCCATCCGTTTTATTGTGTCGTTAGTCGGTTGTTTTGTAAGGGGCTTTTGTTTAATTACAACCATTGTTTTGACAGTGATTAATTCTCTTTGTTAGTATTGACTGGAAGTAATTTTTTGTCTTTGAATATTGGTGAAGTAAGCATTTTTTTTAATTAATCATCGATATTATTAGATGGAAATTGACGTGATCATCGACGTCTATGGTTCTTCTCGAAAGATCAATATCACGTGCATAATAATAATATTGATTGGAAATGTTTCATTTCTGCTCATTGCTATCTCATTTGCATTGATTGGTATATCTGTAAAAAAAAAGATGGCATATTCATACAACTGATCTTGAAAAGGATGTATACCACATTTTCAATGTTCCCTTTTYCATGAGAAATATGGAAGTATTTGCTTTCTGTTCTTGTAAAATGGTCTAGAATGTCCGTGGCGTGTCTTATCGGTTGCAAAGTTGTATATGGACATTAGAGCCTCATTTTAAGAGGACTTACGTTTCAAGATCGGCTGTATTTGAACGACAAAAAAAGAAACTGATTTTAATCGTGCCTTGCAGGAATTTGTCAAGCGGTACAGTCTTCTCTTCCCACGTGTCATTGACGACGCCAAGAACCAGATATATGGTATATTGAAAACACTGAAGCTTGATCCAAATGAATACCAGATTGGTAGTAGCAAGGTAAAAATCTTATTTTCTGCACTGTTGTCTTCATATTTGTCAATGTAGTAGTAGTAGTTGTTGTTGTTGTAGCTGTTATAGTAGTAGAAGTAGTAGTAGTAGCAGCAGAAGCTGTTGCAATTGTAGTAGTTGTAGTAGTAGTTGTAGTTTTTTTAGTACTATTGCCTTTCTTTCTTGTCATTTTCTTGCTGTCATTGATGCTATTGTTGTTGATGAAATTATCATTTTATTTCGTTATTTGTTTAGATATTTTTGCGAGAGAGTCAACATCGTATTCTTCAAGATCAATTACACAAGGTAAACATTCTTACTAAACCTCCCCCACACGTAGACGTTTTATATAGAGGATATTACACGGTTGCGCGAAGATATGAATTTTATTTTCGCTGCGCTCACTCGTAAAATATCAGTGTTTTTAACACGAGAAAATAAAATTCATATCTTCAAGCCAACGTGTAATATTCTTTTTATTATATGGACAAACTAAAGCGACAAGTAGAAAAGAGCGGGAAAGTTGTTTTTGACGCGCGCGTACATCCGGGACATKTTKGTACAKAACKTTTTCATATCTTTACTAGTGAAAATATTGAAAATACGAGTTTTTTAGTTTCAAGAAAAACACTATTAACCATATAATAAAAATAGTTATTTGCTCTAAACTCTCCAMTATCATTCAGGTTTTCATCGACAAAGTTTGCACGATACAGAGATGGACAAGAGGTGTTTTACAGAGAAGACATTTCCTTCGACAGAGAAGTGCAGCCATTACAATTCAGGTATAAAAACACCTCGTAGTCCTGGCTAACCTCAGTAATACTGAACAATGGCCGTGTAAAAAAGGTCTGAAAAAGATTAAAAGAGATTTTCCAAGGGATTTTTGAAGGCCAAGTGTACTGTGAGCACCCTTGGTAATACGGACGATTGTCGCATTCAAGAGGATTTCAAAACTAGATTTTTAAAAAGGGCAGTGCAATGCGGACGCCCTCGGTAATACGGATAATGGTCGCGTAAAAGAGGGTTTCAAAATGGCGACTTTTTTACAAGGCCAAGTACATTGCGACCAACCCTCGATATACGGATGAATGGTCGCGTAAAAGAGGGTTTCAAAATTGTGACTTATTAACAAGGTCCAGTACAATGCGACCACCCTCGGTAATACGGATACTGGTCGTGTAAATAAGGTTCATAATAGTGATTTCGTTTTTTTTTTATTCCAGTCACATGTTCGTGGTCATTTTGTGCGCTTGGAACTGGCCAATCAGAGGTACGCGGCGACTAAGTTGCAGGCAACATGGCGGCGGTACCACGCTGAAGTTCAGTACAAGAAAACACGATATCGTATTATATTACTACAGGCTGGTGTGCGTGGATGGCTCGCAAGGAAACGGTAAATGCAAACATGTGGATAGTCTTTTATTTCGATATTTCGATCCTGGAAATGTTTTCAATCGACTGCGATCAAAATATCTTGTATCGATTGGAATCGAATCGTCTTGAATCGACTTGGTTCGAAACGCCATAAATCGGCTGAGATCGAAATGTCTCGAATCGATTGCAATCGAATCAAAACAGCTTTGTATCGAAATAATCTAGATTGAAAACAAGTAAATAGACTCCATTGAAACATCATTGAAATGAGATCATAGAAAACATCTTTATTGTTTTCCCGTGCTTTCCAACCTTTTGTAAGATCTTCTTTGTGTTTGTCGTGTGTAGGTATGAGAAACTCTTGAAACAACAAGAATTAGAAGAGGAGCGAAGACTGGAGGAAGCTGTAGAAAGACGACCAAGGTAATAATAGACACCTCTGTATTCCGGGCATTTCKCCGTATAATCCGACCAGACATAKGTTTCGTTATAGAAGSTWCTCRRTTTTTTGAAGATGTCACTTGGACCTMCATAAGACGGGCACTTTGTTCCCCAATCCGATCGGATGTTCATATTATTAAGGTTTCTAATTTCTTGCTCCGTTTTTCTATAGGCTTTCAGATACAGAGGCTCGTCGCCTGGTGCGCTCTMTAAGTGACCCAACTGACTACGAAAAACTCAAAACGACCATCGAAGAAGACGAGGAAAAACCGGATGTGACGTCAGAGACACCTCACGTCAAAGTCTCGACGTCAGAGGAGAGYCTGCTTGTATCTGATGTTGCTTCGCCAAGGTAAAAATTGCTAAAAACGTGAAGAAAACAAGCCAATTTGATGAGCTATCAAAGGCCAAAACAAGTTGCAAATAAAACAATACTCCAGTTTCGAATCCTCCAATGCTCTTTGTTAGCCTCACTTGTGCGCAAAATATTCCTTAGTTGTGAGCGTAAAAGTGTGAGATTTCAAATCAAATTTATTGTCTTCGCAAACTGATTCCATGCGTTTTGTCGGGCTATCAATAAAACAAAAGAATATGTTACTTGGTTTTGAGGCTAACACAGAGCAAACCAAAACTCGAAATTGGAGCATTATCGGTTGACAATAAGACCCTGTTTACATGAGATAGGGTGCCCCTAGTGGTAGGGCTAAAATCCTTTGTTTTACATCCTCCAGCAACCTCGGGAACCCAGGCGGCCGGTAAGTTAATCAACCAATCAGAATGTTCGAGTGAATCACTCGACCAATCAGAAATTTACCGGCCGCCATTTTGAATTTCGAATCGAGAACAAGGTCTAACTGGGGTATTTTTTCTGGGAGTGAGGAACGAACGACAGAAGATAACCCCTGGGTTCCCGAGGATGATCCTCCAGGGAAAAGAAAACAAAAGAGTTAGCCCTACCACGTAGGGGCGTTCTATCTCATGTAAACAGGGTCTAAGCGTGGTATGAAGAATTATAAATGTTTGAGTGATTATAGGTTTGTACAATGCTCCATATCATACTTAGCCCGTAAACATTAATATTTTACCATATTCCTATGTCGTTTTGTTTATTTTGTTTGACTTCTTGTTAGGTTGCTTACTTGGTTGGTTGATGGWCTGATTTTAATTTATTMATTTTTAGGGTAAAAGAGTTGTCCAAAATGTTTGAACGCGATCTTTATCTTCTCAAACCCACAGATGTAAGTATACTTTATGCATGTAAGACTGTTTTTTGTGATGCCCGATATATATCGTGCGAAATTCTYCGAAGCGCGCTTTCAAGACGCATTATTACTGTACGCTGATTAAACGCGTATGTCATAAGAATAACCGCAAACAGAAGACCAATTACTAAGATGCTTTTCCTTACGCTTACGCTTGCGTTGTATGCCATAAGRCATTGACATAAGCGCAAGCGCAAGAGCATAAATAACAACAAAGGAACAATGCAAAAACAAGAGCTTGTGTCTCAATTGTCTTTTTTGTTTGTGCTTACATGCTTGCGTCGTTATTAAAAACATTGGTGTAAGATGACTCTTACTTATGGGAATACTTATCATTCACTGCTACTCGCAGGAGGTACGTCGACGCGCATGCTCGGATCCAGCTGCTCAGCGGCGTCTTCGAAAGCTTCCTCGTTCCATGCCYTTGTCGATCGAAACCCACACGGCCGAAGAAGAAGACAGGCCCTCCACACCGGACATCGTTAAGCTTAGCGCTGTATTCTCGCCGACTGCACTAATAGAGTTTAAAACCGCACCACCAGAAGTTACGTGTAATGCTCTTTCTCGTCGGATGACGTCGAGTATCCGTCGGCGRTTATCGWCGAAGTCGAAAAACAAATCGGGTCTTCGGATGAGTACTTCGGATATYCCCGACGAGCCTCCSTTTCCATATAGCGACAACGATGAAGCTCTTTTCGGCGCAAGGCCCGGGTCAATTGAAACTCTACCGAACATTGCAACACTCGGGACACCTTCGGTCGATGTTCGGAAAACGAAAGGTCGCAGTTTATTCCGACGGAAAAATCGACATTCTATGCGACGAAAGTCYGAGCCAGGTATTGCAAAACAAAGTGTCAAAAAAGCTGATAAGAATGAGATCAAGCCTTCGAAGTCCGATGAAGGTACGTTAACTTTTAGAGTAGAATCTTACACTAGCGTGTTCGTCTTAAATAGACAATGTGCAGTCACGCCACTTGCTCCTACAAAGATTCGACCTTAAAACCGATGGATGGAAACGGATTGTAAATAAACACTTGAAATCAACTCATTTTCCATAGATGAAAATTCTAAAACATGACTCCATGGAACTTTTGGGATTATTTTAGCGGCATTTTGCTAGTGATTTTCCCATCGTGCTTTGTTCCAGGAAGTGGCCGTAACATTACGTATACTTTCCGTAACATTACGTATGCATTCCGTTACATTACGTATACGTTCCGTAATATTGCGTATACGTTCCGTAACGTTACGTATGCGTTCCGTAACATTACATATGCGTTCCGTAACATTACGTATACGTTCCGTAACATTACGTATGCGTTCCGTAACATTACGTATACGTTCCGTAATATTACGCATGCTTTCTGTAACATTCCGTATGCATTCCGTAACATTACGTGTGTGTCAACAGATCTAATCAACGCCATTAATCAGACTAAAATAGTCAGCACAATCTCCAAGTCGGTTATCACAGGAACAAAGCAAGTCAAACCGACAAACAAGAAAATCGCACGTGGAGCTGCTGACCTATCGGGACTGGATTCTTTCTTAATGAAGAAGGTAGCTTTATATGTTGCTTTACGTTATTTATGTTACATTACAAGAAAACCATTACGTTATATTACTTTACAGCAAAAACATTACGTTACATTATGTCACTTATGTCATGTGACCGGAAACCCATTACGTTATATTACGTTACTTATCTTACGTTACAGCATAAACATTACGTTATATTATGTCACTTATGTCACGTGCCAGGAAACCTATTATGTTATATTACGTTACTTACGTTACGTTACAGTGTAAAACATTACGTTACATTATTGGCTTAAGTTACGTTACAGCAAAACATTGTTACTTATGTTGCGTCACAGATCAGAGTATAAAACTTTACGTTCTGTTTAGGTAACCTCAGTTTTTAATTCCCATTAATGTAATCGTGATTGTGCTATCTTGAGGGAGAGGAAGCAAAAAAATACGTTGGAGTTACCTTAACATTATTTGTTGTCGAGCCACCTTAACGTTGTTCGTTGTATGTGTAGATCAATGATTTAAATCAAGAGCAAAACAAGCGAGATACWGTCGTCGATGGAGTATTTAAAAAGTCTTTACATGAATTCCATGCGTACCTTATATCAGAACGATCTCTGATTATCAATGTGAGTTCATTTACGATTGATTAWTGCTTTTTATATTGTTGTTATTGTCGTCGTCATTGTTGTTGTTGTTGTTGTGGTGATGGTGGTGGTTGTTATACTTGTAATATTTGCTTTTCCATGCCCCCTTTCGCTCTAAGCTTTCATGATATAACGTTTTAAAACCCGACTACGTTTTTTGTGGCTAATGCATAGTAAGAGGCTAAAGCCACTATGCTACCTCCCTTAAAAGTACGTGTGCATGTGTACGTAACTCGGTTAAACTTCGCTATAGTCCGTTTCCTAACGGTGGCCGCCCGATTATTTTTTCTATTAGATGTCTACTAATACTTCATATGATTACTAACATGTTATATTTTTTTACAGCACGGTAAAACAGTGAATCTAACATACGAAGACATCATCAAGAAGTTCGAAACCATTCTAGAAAAGATCATCAAAATTGAACGCATTGGAGTGACATTCCCWGCTATTATGGGCGTGAACGCCTTTTGTGGTTTCATCAATGACTACTTAGAAAAGAGGTAGAGACTTTGTCGAGATGCGCGAGCACTTTCATATCTTAGGTGCTCGCAAGGGTGGGWATACTCCAATTTCGAGTTCTGGTTTGCTCTGTGTTAGCCTCAAAACCAAGTAACATATTCTTTTGTTTCATTGATAGCCCGAGAAAATGAATGGAATTTGAAAAGAAACACAATAGAATTGATTTGAAATCTCACACTTTTATTTTCACAATTAGGAATATTTTGCGCACAAATGAGGCTAACACAGAGCATTGGAGAATTCGAAACTGGATTATTTGGTGAAGAAATAAATCGAAGAGGCTTCGCAAAATTGATCTCAAAAAAGCTCGTTTTCATAGGCTCTTTTCTGAAATAACATTGAGCATTGCATTGTGGTCTAGATTCGGCAYATCGTTATTTTAGTTACTTGGGCTACTTTTGTTCATGCTGCCAAATATGGCATTGTTTGTACKTAAGGTAGACCACAATGCAACCTGATTATTTATTTCAGAAAAGGTGTATGCATTCGTCTGTTTTGCTTAGATTTATGGTAGCATTTGTTTCATCTTCAAGTTTTTCTCGGGCCATATGAATGCATTATAATACTTTTCTTTTTACAGAGAGCAAGCHCTTGCCAAGGCTGAGAAATCAAGAGCAGCACCAAAGCAGGTTTGTGTCAGTCTCAWTATAGTCAACCAGCATTCAATGCGGTCGTATTTTAGATTTTTCATATAAGACGACTTCATATATCCATTCGCAATCCGTTTCCATCCGTCGAWTTTAAGATCGAWYCTTACAGTATCTCCATTCATATATTATAAAGAGATAGCAAAGAGTAAGTTTTTGCTTATATTACGATGCATTTTTACTTTCAAACATAAAGTTAAGCTCGAAAGGAATTCCGGTCGAACATGGTCCTTTAATTAAAACAATAAATGTATGTTATCTGTTTTTYCTACTGAAATCTAAAATGATATTATTTGATCTACAGCACCTTAAGAAGAAAGTAAAACGAAAATCTGATTTACAGGTATATGGCCAAGTTATCAATGCTTTTAGCTTGACCTTGTTAGCCAACTATAAGGGGAATTGAACGAGTTTTACTCGAGTTCTCTCTACACTGAAGTCAAAACTACAATCGTTGACAAAATCCTTGGACCATTCAAGCGAATTTCCTCATTTTAGGAAACACCCACAGACAATTTCATCCTCCCTAACACCCTCAATGCAACGTTGTCATTGAGCATGTTACCATAGTACACAAGCATCCAAAACAAGACCCAACATTGATGAAAGGGGGCTAAGGGGGAGGACTGTTAAAAAAATAGGGGAGAAAATTGTTAGGCTAGAGACAAATAATTCTATGGTCCAAGGTTTTTTGGCAACGATTGTAGTCTTTGTCGACATAAAACTACGTTTCTTTTCTTTTTCTTTTCTGTAGAACTTACTACATATTTGTAATGTTAAACAACATTTCTTACTTTCAAATCGTTTCTTTGCCTTTGTCGTTTGTACAGTTTTCGTTTTTTGTCTTTCTTTCCTTTAATAACCTAATTCATGTATTAACTGAACTTGTTCAGGTTAGTGTAAAACTATATTTCTTTCCTTTACTTTGCTTTAGGATATTGACTTTTTATTCCTTTTCTTTGTTCAGCATCATAATAATCATAAATTCGGCGTGGCTCAGTTTAGTATTCCAACCTTTTGTGAGCATTGTAACTCGCTGATTTGGGTACTGGAGAAAGGCATGGTTTGTCAAGGTAGTTAGACTTTTAAGTCTAAATTAGCATTTAAAATTGCTTTGTTTTTTTCAGTCATTTATTCATTCATTCATTATCAGTTTAATTCCATTATTGATTTATCCATTTACCCTTTTTGTCATCCCTCCCTTTAACTATGTAACTATGGTTATTATGTAATATATAAGACATGAGCGGAAGACCTTTTTGGCCATATAAAACTGTGAGCGGCAAGTACAAAAAGTCGGAGGCGAATATCTTATATTGCTTTTCAAATTCAAACATGAGCTAAAGCATATTTCGCAAAAAAAACTAAGATAACAAGATAAAATATCATTTGTAAGAGAAAATCGAAGGTAAAGTCGTATGCAAATCAGGGCAAATCTCTTGCTCATATAAAGATGTGGTCACGGCAATGATTTTCCATTGTGTTTACCTTATGAATTATTAATGTATTTGATAACTGCAGATGTACATAACCAAGTTATGTACTTCTGATAATTGTTAATAAAATTGTTATTGTCATTATCCCTCGTTCCTTCTTCCCTTCCTCTCTTCCTTTTTAGTTCCTTTCCTCCGTTTTTCCTTTTTCTGTAATTTTGAAAATTGCTAACAATCGGTTATGATATCGACACTGGTGAAAAACGCACTGCGCATGTCCACAGCTTTCCCGCTGAAATCTGCCTAATTTCCTTTGTAAAGCGATTTTTGTGAAAGTTTTTTACAATTTATAAGCTCGTTCTCCGATATATAAGATTCATATTTCCATCAATCATTGTTCATGATAGGTTCTTTTAGTATGTAGTTTCTATTTTTATCTTGTCATTTCTATTTTGAGAAAATGAGGTTTTTCGTAGTGTTTTCTGTGTTGTCGCTGTAAGGCGCTCTGTTTACAGATTTCAAGACGCGAGCACCCACTGGCGGGAAAGCTGTGGGCATGCGCAGTGCGTTTTTCACCAGTGTCTATGATATCTTCAAATAAACCCATTTTCTCATTCATACAGATTGCCGGTTTACTTGTCATAAAAAATGTTATTTAAAGTCAACGCTGTTGTGTGTGTGGAATACTACCAAGGCTAAGTCAAATTCAAAGGTGAGAAAAAACAGTCAGTATGTCCAGCGGTCAACCGGGGAAAAATACGCATCCCTAATGTGCATTCTCTTATATAATTGACAAATGACGCAATAATTCCTAATTTAGCAATGCTCAGCCCAATGGCATTCTCTTATATGATTGACAAATGACGCAATGATTCCTAATTTAGCAATGCCCAGCCCATACTGTTCTTTTTATTATTTCATTGGGAGAAGGTTCCAAATGCGTGTCCCCTTTCATATCGTCAAAAAATTACAAAATATATCCCATTTTTCATGTCGTAATCTAGCAAATGGTATACATAACCCTACGTTGTTCGTTGTTGGAATCCTTACACGAACTCAGGCTAGGGTGTGTCGATTAATAAACAATTGCCATGGACACATTTACATTTGTTGCCATGGAAACATTTACATAAGTCAGAAATTTAAATACATAATTTCAAAACTAAAACAAATAGATGTAATTAAATTTTACACGGATAGTATACTGTCCTTTTCGTTATAAATTAGTCAATACAATGGCCAGTGTAAAGCGAAGATACAGTTTTAATATTCGTAAATTATCTTCACAGCGCTATTCGGTATTTGGTGGAGATCTTTGTGACATGACAACAGAGGAATCATCGATACCAAGAGTAGTTGATAAACTCATTCAGGAAATCGAATTTCGAGGTATGAGAGCAGTATATTATTCCAAAATGGCTGACTAGCCCTTGATGTCTCGTTTTCATGAAATTGTTTTTTTTTTGTTTAAAGTCACTCAAGCTCAAAGACAAAAGAATAATTTTAYGAAAACGAGACATCAAGGGCTAGTCAGCCATTTTGGAATAATGTGTATTCTCTGTTGTGTTTTGCTCAGGCTTAGCCTTATAAACTGAATGTAGTTTTACCGTGAAATATAATAATCACAGTTTTATTATAGTTTTATTTGTTTGTATTTACCGCCTCATACTGCATGCCACTGAACCAGTACATTGACATATACTTTGATTTTGTTTCACGGTCCAAGAGCGTTCGCTGTAGTGCGTGAAATAATCAAAAGTTAACGATGTAACCCATAACATTTACTGCTATTCGTGTTGCCGTTTTTTTTTTTTCGCTTAAAAAATTCCTTATATTTCTACATTCTGTTTCTGAATAATAAATTACCCAGTGTCAAGGCTTGGGACTGAGTAAAACCCAACTTGGAATATATATATGTATCGCTTTTATTGAAGTGATGGCGATTAAACGTCGCCGGAGCTTAACACTCTATATACGGGTACAAGTAACTATGCCAATAAATATACTGTAAGTTATTGACCGAATCTYATCGGTATTTTTTTACCGAGTTTTATCGGTTCGTAATAGTAGTTGCTGTGAGTCGATATTTTTTAGCTGTATATTTGAATAGATGATTTTGGTTTTGGAAATAGTATAATGTAATCAAGGGTATTGTGTTTTTATAGGTCTGTATACTGAAGGTATTTACAGGAAATCACCCAATAACGCTACTGTACGAGCCTTGAAGAACGCGATTATCAGTAATGGTAAGAGTGTAAATAATTGATTGCTGGATTGATTGATTTAATTAATGGATGGATGGATGGATTAATTGCTTGCTTGCTGGATTGATTAATTGCTGGATTGCTTGCTTGCTTGAATGATTGATTGGTTGATTGATTGATTGATTGATTGATTAATTGATTCCTGTATTGATTGATTGCTGGATTGTTCGATTGATGGACTGTTCGATTAATGGATTGGTTGCAGGAATGATTGATACATGTCAATCATCTCACTACAATCTGTTGTATTTAGGGATTGAAAATGTCGACCTCTCAACGTATTCCGTACATGTCGTTGCCGCGGTTCTCAAGCTTTTCTTCAGGCAACTATCAAGTCCTCTCTTCACCAATGAAGTCTACAACGACGTAATACGAAGTGCAGGTAACAACATGTTTTGACTATTACCAGTATCACCATTTACAAATAGTCCATGTCTATATTTATGGCAGTTCGGAGACGTGGTTTGCATCTCGCGAGCTCGTAAAGGAAAGAAAAAAATATAGAAAAGAGATATATAGCCATTTTTCTCTCAGTTTTCTGATATAAACACGTTGGGAGGTAGARACCGCTCGAGAAGGAAGAGAAGATGACTTTTCTTTTGCCCCTCATCGTCATTATATCAAAGAACACAGAGAAAAAAGCGCCCGATTTGTGTCTTAAGTGAAAACGTTTCTATGACATGCTATAGTCTGYTGCAATAATTGAATTTTAGACGTCGACAGTATTGCTAGTGATAATGATGATGATTAAATGATGACGATGATAATACTGATAAATCTAATCTTTTCCCCCCAGATTTGAGCGATGAACGAGTCAAGCTTGAAACTCTGTACTCGATTGTTCAAAAGCTACCACGAGTCAACATCGAGATATTTGAACGACTTATTTTCCACTTAGCAAGGTAACGTCTTATGTTTTGAATAAAAGAGATTTAGCAAAATCCTTTGATACAGTGCAAAAGGCTTTGCACTATTTACTACCAAATAAAACATTACAATTAGTAAAATTATAATATAGCAAATGCGGCCAGATACTGCTGTTAGATGGTAAATACACTTTAAATGGAGTCCTGATGATGCTTTGGAACAACGAAAGCTCGACTTCATATTAAGTTATAGATATTTACCATCTAACATCAGTATCTTGCCGCATTATTATTACCCTCAACTAACTTGCTGCTGAAGGATTACTTCTCAAGATTAATAATTGGTAGAGTTAAGTCAAAAAGCCCGTGAAATAGCTATAACACTTAATATGCTCTAATTGCATTGTTTTTTTTTTGTCTGTTTGTGTTTGACTATCACACTTTGATAGTCAACTTTTGTTTCACGTTTAATGACTTTACTCTATAATTTAGCATTATTTATTAGCTATGTATTAATGTTGTTTTTTTGTTAATGACTTTTTTTTGTTATGACGATAGGATTGCTGAAAATGAGCAAAGTAACCTTATGCATCCCAATGCACTTTCCATAATCTGGGCTCCCTGTTGTATGAGAACACCAGAGAACGTGGGGCCAATGGAAAGCCTGCAGCACGTTCCTAAACAAACAGAGTAAGTACTTGGATTTACCTTTTGTTGCATCTGAAATATTCTATATTGCAATGTTGCTCACAAATCTTATATTTTCCTCCCAATTGTTTTCTTTGCTGGTTCTGCGCTGTTGTTGTTGTTGTGGGTGTTGTTGCTCTTGTTGTAGCTGTTGCTGTTGCTGTTGTAATTGCTGTTGTTGTTGTTGCGGTTGTTATTGCTACTGTTGTAGCTGTTGTTGTTGTTGTTGTTGTAGCTGTTGCTGTTGTTATTATTGCTGTTGTTGTCGTTGTTGTTGTTCAACTCTTGTTGTTGTAACTGTTGCTATTGTTGTTATTGCTGTTGTTGTAGCTGTTGCTGCTGTTGCTGTTGTTATTGCTGTTGTTGTTGTTGTTGTTCAGCTCTTGTTGTTGTTGCTGTTGTTGTAGCTGCTGCTGTTTTTGTTATCGCTGTTGCTGTTATTGTTCAACTCTTGTTGTTGTTGTTGTTGTTGTTGTTGTTGTTGTCATTGCGGTTCTCATTGCTGCTGTTTTTGGTCGTTGTCATTGTTGCTGGTGATGATTGTGCTCCTATTGCTCTAGGTGTAGTATTCTTCGACTGCTTTCTTCCTATTTCCCAGTCTATTTCTGTCATGACTTTTATTCTTGATTTCTTGAATAATTTTTTTTCATAGTTTTCTCGAAACGCTAATAGCTAACCAAGTCAAGAAAATCCGATCAACACTAAGCGACATTCGAGTTCTCGATAAAGCCGCCGATACGACGAACAAAAGACTATCGATGTTGAATCTACGAGAAGAGGTATCGATTTTTATTGGGTATCATTTATTGTGATTTGCGCATGCGCGTGAATTGCGCTTACCCCATCCCACATGGTAGAGAAGTGTACTATAAATATTGATATTCAATTTCTAGGAACAAGATTTAGTGGAGCAGGATTTAGTGGCTGAAGGTGACGAAGTTAAAAGCTTATTGACGCAACAACTGGAAGCTCTACAGCAACAAAGGTTCGCAATCAAAATGCTGATCATGTGACTGCTAATAGTTAAAAATATTGGATGGGGTTGGGCTTGATATCGTAATTACCTGTTAGATTTTCAAATGTATAGCTAGAAGATTATAATGGTAACCAATTGAATGTGTAATGAATTATATAGGATATTGAACTACGTTTTTAGATTGATTTTTTTCTGTGATATTTTTGATGACGTTTTTACTAGTTTTTATTGATGCTGTTATTGTTGTTGATGTTTTTGTTATTGTTTTGAAAAACTGCACTGGTTAAACAAATTATCAATAGATCATTAATATTGATAGGGATTTTTCTCAATCTGTTTTACACAGGGATGTATTAACAGCTAATCTAACAATGCTAAAACCTCGGCAACAAAAATCAACAGACACTAGTGAAGATGTTGCGAGCGATGAAAACATAACGGACGACGAGCTTGATGAAATATTAGACAACGAAGARTACGCAGTAACATTCGACCTTCCAGGTGAGTACCAACCACTTGGACTAAATGATGTAGAAATTCGAGGGCGATAATGTAGGCAAGAAAAGCAATAGTTTAGATACATGACGTACTACATCTACTGGATCATTTACCCTAAAGAAATTTTCATTCAAAAACTCAAAGAACAGTATAGAAATATAGTCATTTTAATCCGTCTGTGAAATAGGAATTGTACTATTAAATACTATTACCCCCTATTAGCTCCCAATAGTTTAATTTATGACATGCGACAAAAAATAAGGCAAACACGGTTTTGATTTTGCCTTTTGGTRGCCTACTACACCCTAATAGTTACTATTAAACACTGACTAGTAGTAATTGTTTCACAGACCGATGAAAATGACTCTAAGAAGTCAACAACATCAATATATTTATTCGTACCATGGAGTTTACAAAATAAAGATAAAAAATTAAAAGTTATTGATAAAAAGTATAATTTAGGTACAGGGCCTAAAAAATAACTATAGAAGCTAATAAATTGTCAATAAAAGTCAATAACAACTCCTAAAGATAAATCTACTTTCTTTCAGCTGCACCCGTAGTCCTCAACCACTTAACAAAGAACAGAGCTAAACGACAAGCAAAGAAACGYCTCCCATCACGAAGTAAATTACGCGACAGTACCATTAACGAATACCACGTGTGACCACACCCACCACGTGTATGTGCCACGCCCATCTTAAATTATATTCACATGATCTTAGAAAGCGATAATATAGCGGTGATTCCGATCGAGAAGAACCTAACTCTGTAACTTTTTTCCGTCACCCAAGAACTCGACCGCCCGGTTTAGAGAGTACAAAGACAAAGAGCTTTGCAAGCAGATCTGAGGCCAAACAGTCAAAGATACTGCATTCCATTAGACAAATGAATATCAAGGGATCAATTGGTCAAATTAAGCAAATGAGTCGATTTGACTAACGATGTCTATAGCAAAAGTGTCACGCTAGAGCCAGATTTTCAGATTCTAAAGCAAAGAAAGGTGTCCCGTCTCTCAAGATGTGTCGTCACGCAACGTACCGCGTCACGTATTTTTGTCACGCAAGATTGCTTTATTAGTTAATTTTTTTCCCACATCGACGATTTTTTTCCATCGAAATCACTCGAGAGATATAATTATGTAGTGTCTCGGTGATCCCATATAGAGACCAAACCCTGGTCGTCCTGGGACTGGTTTTTAAATAACTGATTAACGTTACAGTTGCTCGAGCTCTAAACAACCCATCCCTGAATGATACGGGGGTGAAAACGAAGGGGCTATACTACTTTCCACTAAACTTTATAAAGACATAAAAGAAATTCACAATAGAGATTTTAGATATTTTAATAGAAAAACGCAGATATGCATAAAAGTGAAATAATTTATAACGTTGCTCTGACGTCACTTCCGGTTACATCATTTCCGGTAGCAAATACGAAAACGTTCCACAAAAATCATCCTGTACTACAACGGGATTTCTATGGCCCGAATGAACGGGATTTTCAAAACACCGGGAAGCGTAGGGTTKCTTTTTTTTCTTTTTGACATACCAAACAATTGCTTTGGAGATACTAATAGTCTCCTTCACGGTTGCCTGCGCCATCTTGAAAGGTAGCCGTGCCTTTGCATCGAAGCGAGACGACCGTTGAGCGTGCAATGATAGAAACCTGTGAATAATTGTCTGCTAGGTGTGAAAGAAGGTTTCTATCATTGCACGCTCAACGGCTACCTTTCAAGATGGCGCAGGTAACCGTGAAGGAGACTATTCGGTTTTTTTGTGGACGTGGCCATATATGGTGATATTACCTTATTTGGAAGTGCACCGAAATACCAGACCAAAACACAGGGATCCCGTGCCAATATGTACAGGAATTGTTTGATATGAAYCACAGAAAAAAATATATGATTTTTTACCTTTTATAAATTGTAAAGCATTATTTAAAAATATTATGTAGATGTCTTTATCGATTATTTTAACGATTTTTAAGCTAAATTCTAATAATATTGTCCAAATTTGAACATCATTTTAAGAAAGTTTTAAGTTTAAAAACTGAGAAAGTTGGAAAAAAATAAGATTTTAATAGAGATGTTCGTCAGACAATTGTAATAAAATTACATCACATTTACACCTGGCTGCTGATTTTTTATTCTTCATTTTCATTAATCACCTCTCTTCCCGTGAGCCTTTGAGAAGGCAATGAAACCTTCCYTGGATCACTSGACGGAGACTTACGGAGAAGTTGAAAAGAAAAGGCTTCGATSTATTAGCAAGTGGATTTTTTCAGGAGGATTAATTTTAATTATTTCAATTGATCAACTAGCTCACTAAAGGTAATCGTTTTTCGAAGTGCAAAATCTCCGACTTCAAACTAAAATTCAATAATAAAACTCTACCGACGTGCACACTATCCAGGYACCTTCAAAAGTAACGCAACTTCAACAAAGTAAGCGTTACAAAAAGCGTAAMAATTATTTACTTGATCGACGATTTGACTTTAATTTCTCCAAAATTTCTTTTTAATTTTTTTGTGTCCAAATTTTGTACAACTTAAAGCAGACTTATGACGGCGAAACGATTATTACCAAAATTCATTGGCTTTATTATGAATGACTCTGAGGCATGTGCATCACCATAGTCTTCTTCACGGTTCCCTGCGCCATCTTGAAAGGTAGCCGTGCCTTTGCATCGAAGCGAGACGACCGTTGAGCATGCAATGATAGAAACCTTCTTTCACACCTACAGACAATTATTCACAGGCATCTATCATTGCATGCTCAACGATTGTTTTGCTTCGATGCAAAGGCACGGCTACCTTTCAAGATGGCGCACGTAAGCGTGAAGGAGACTAGTCCTGATATAATACTGAAGCGCTGTATGTCTCATTACTGTGTTTCATTTTGTTTCTGTTTTATTAAAGTGATTTATCGATTATGTTGAGCACTGTTCAATAGAAATGT